GTCGAAGTTTCTTGTTTTGTCTGTTGTGTGCGTTATACCCGCTTTGATGTCGTCTAATATAATCGTCGCGAACTAATATGCTCCAGAGGTATCCATGTGTGATGATAGAATACAGAGATGTTGTCGAATAATCTTCACTTGCTTAATGTTCTCGTTATATGTCCTTCGGAGTCGTCTTTTATGGTCAGTGCGATCGTGTATGCCATTGCTGTGGGCATTTCAGATGCTAGGATTCGAAGTTACAGTGTGAACATAGTCGGAGTCGAAGTTTCTTGTTTTGCCTGTTGTGTGCTATATACCCTCTTAGATGTCGTCTTTTATGACCATTGCGAACTAATATGCTCCAGAGGTATCCATGTGAGATGATAGTATACAGAGATTCAGTGTGCAGTTTGATGTTGTCGAAGAATCTTCACTTGCTCATTGTTCTCGTTATATGTCCTTCGGAGTCGTTTTCTATGGTCAGTGCGATCGTGTATGCCATTGCTGTAGGCATTTCAGATGCTAGAATGCGAAGTTACAGTGTGAACATAGTCGGTGTCGAAGTTTCTTGTTTTGCCTGTTGTGTGCTATATACCCGCTTCGATGTCGTCTAATATGATCGTCGCGAGATGATATGCTCCAGAGGTATTCATGTGAGATGATAGTATACAGAGATATAGTGTGCAGACTGATAATGTCAAACAATCTTTACCGCCTATTGATCTCGTTATATGTCGTTCGGAGTCGTCCTATATGGTCAGTGCGATCGTATCTGCTATAACTGTAGGCATGTCCGATGCTAAAATGCAAAGTAACAGTGTAAACATGGTCGAAGTCGAAATTTCATGTTCTGTCTGTTGTGTGCGTAATACTCGTTCTGACGTCGTCTCATATGATCGTTGCGAACTGATATGCTTCGCAACGATGATAGAATACAGAGATGATATAGAATACAGAGATGATAGAATACAGAGATACAGTGTGCAGACTGATGTTGTCAAACAATCTTCACTCGCCTATTGATCCCGTTATATGTCCTTCGGAGTCGTCCTATATGGTCAGTGCGATCGTATCTGCTATAACTGTAGGCATGTCAGATGCTAGAATGCAAAGTAACAGTGTGAACATAGTCGAAGTCGAATTTTCATGTTCTGCCTGTTGTGTGCGTTATACCCGTCCCGATGTCGTCTGATATTATCGTTGCGAATTGATATGCTCTAGGGGTATCCATGTGAGATGATAGAATACAGAGATACAGTGTGCAGATTGATGTTGTCGAAGTATCTTCACTTGCCTATTGTTCTTGTTATATGTCTCTCGAAGTCATTTTATATGGTCAGTGCAATCGTATTTACTATAGCTGGAGGCATGTCAAATTCTAGAATGTGAAGTTACAGTGTGAAAATAGTCGAAGTTTCTTGTTCTGTCTGTTGCGTGCGTTATATCCGCTTTGATGTATTATATGATCGTTGCGAACTTAAATGCTCCAAATGTATTCGTGTAAGATGATAGAATACAGAGATACAGTGTGCAGACTGATGTGGTCGAACTATCTTCACTTGTCTATTGTTCTCATTACATGTCCCGCGAAGTCGTCTTATATGTTCACTTCGATCGTATCTGCTTCAACTGTAGGCTTGTCAGATGCTAGAATTCAGAGCCACAGTGTGAACATATTTGGAGTCAAAATTTCTTGTTCTTCCTGGTATGTGAGTCATGCCCACTTCGATGCTATCTTATATGATCGTTGCGAACTTATATGCTCCAAAGGCACACATGTGAGATGATAGATTACAGAGATACAGTGTGCCGACTGATTTTGTCGAAGTATCTCCACTTGCCTATTGTTCTCGTTATATGTCCTTCGGAGTCGTCTCATATGGACACTTCGATCGTATCTGCTATAACTGTAGATGTGTAGATGTGTCAGATGTGAACATAGTCATAGTCGAAGTTTTTTTGTTCTGCCTATTGTGTGCGTTATACTTGCTTCGATTTCGTCTTATATGATCGTTGCGAACTGATATGCTCCAGAGGTATCCATGTGAGATGATTCAATACAGAGATACAGTGTGCAGACTGATGTTGTCGTGGTATCTTCACTCGCCTATTGTTCTCGTGATATGTCTCTCGGAGTCGTACTATATGGTCTGTGCGATCTTATCTGCTATAACTGTAGGCATGTCCAAGCCACAGTGTAAACATAGTCGAAGTCAATGTTTCCTATTCTGCCTGTTGCGTGAGTTATACCTGCTCCGATGTCGTCTCATATGATGGTTGCGAACTGAAATGCTTCGAAAGTATCCATGTGAGATGATAGAATACAGAGATACAGTGTGCAGACTGATGTTGTCGAGGTATCCCCACTTGCCTATTGTTTTCGTTAAATGTCCTTCGGAGTCGTCCTATATGATCAGTTCGATCGTTTCTGCTATAGCTGTAGACATGTCAGATGCTAGAATGCGAAGTTACAGTGTAAACATAGTCGGAGTCAAAGTTTTTTGTTTTGCCTGTTGTGTGCGTTATACCCGCTTCGATGTCGTCTGATAATATGATCGTTGCGAACTAATATGCTTCAGAGGTATCCATGTGAGATGATAGAATACAGGGATACAGTATGCAGACTGATGTTGTCGGAGAAACTTCACTCGCCAATTGTTCTCGTTATATGTCCTTCGAAGTCGTCCTATTTGATCAGTGCCATCGTATCTGCTATAACTGTAGGCATGTCGGATCCTAGAATGCAAAGTAACAGTGTAAAAATAGTCTAAGTCAAAGTTCCTTGTTTTGCCTGTTGCGTGCGGTAAATCCGCATCGATGTCGTCTTATATGATCGTTGCGAACCAATATGCCTCAAAAGTATCCATGTGAGATGATAGAATACAGAGATACAGTGTGCAGAATGATGTTGTCGAAGTATCTCCTCTTGCCTATTGTTCTCGTTATATGTCCTTCAAAGTCATCTCATATGGTCAGTGCGATCGTATTCACCATAGCTGTAATCATATCGGATCCTAGAATGTGAAGTATGAGTGTGAACATAGTCAGAGTCAATGTTTCTTGTTCTGCCTGTTGCGTGCGTTATACCCGCTCCGAAGTCGTTTTATATGATCTCTGCGAACTGATATGCCTCGGAAGTATCCATGTTCGATGATAGAATACAAAGATATAGTGTGCAGACTGATGTTGTTGAAGAATATTCACTTGCTCATTGTTCTCGTTATATGTCTCTCGAAGTCGTCTTTTATGGTCAGTGAAATCGTATCTGCTATTGCTGTAGGCATGTCAGATGCTAGAATGCGAAGTTAGTGTGAACATAGTCGGAGTCAAAGTTTCTTGTTTCGCCTGTTGTGTGCGTTATACCCGCTTCGATGTCGTCTCATATGATCGTTGCGAACTGATATGCTTCAAAGGTATCTATGTGAGATTATAGAATACAAAGATACCGTATGCAGACTGATGTTGTCGAAGAATATCCACTTGCTCATTGTTCTCGTTATATGTCTTTCGAAGTCGTCTTTTATGGTCAGTGCAATCGTATCTGCTATTGCTGTAGGCATGTCAGATGCTAGAATGCGAATTTAGTGTAAACATAGTCGGAGTCAAAGTTTCTTGTTTCGCCTGTTGTGTGCGTTATACCCGCTTCGATGTCGTCTTATATGATCGTTGCGAACTGATATGCTCCAGAGGTATCCATGTGAGATGATAAAATACAGAGATACAGTGTGCATACTGATGTTGTCGAAGAATCTTCACTTGCTCATTGTTCTCGTTATATGTCCTTCGAAGTCGTCTTTTATGGTCAGTGCGATCGTATCTGCTGAAGCTGTAGACATGTCAGATGCTGGAATGCGAAGTTTCAGTGAGAACATAGTCGGAGTCGAAGTTTCTGTTTTGCCTGTTGTGTCCGTTATACCCGCTTCGGAGTCATTTTATACGATAATTGCGAACTAATATGCTCCAAAGGTATCCATGTGAGATGAAAGCATACTGAGATACAGTGTGCAGACTGATGTAGTCGAAGTAACTTCACTCTACCTATAAATCTCGTTATATATCCTCCAAACTCGTCCTATATGGTCAGTGCGATCGTATCTGTTTCAACTGTATGCATGTCAGATGCTCGAATTTCGAGCCACAGTGTGAACATGGTCGGAGTCAAAGTTTCATGTTCTGCCTGTTGTGAGCATTATACCCGCATCGATATCGTCTTATATGATCGTTGCGATCTAATATGCCTCGGAAGTTTCCATGTGAGATGATAGAACATAGAGATACAGAGTGCAGACTGATGTTGTCGTTGTATCTTCACTTGCCTATTGTTCACGTTATATGTCCTTTGAAGTCGTCTCTCATGGTCAGTGCGATCGTATCTGCTATAGGTGTAGGCATATCAGATTCTTGAATGTGAGAGAGTGTGCAGACTGATGTTGTCGAAGAATCTCCACTTGCTCATTGTTCTCGTGATATGTCCTTTTAATTCGTCTCATATGATCAGTGCGATCGTATCTGCTATAACTGTAGGCATGTCAGATGCTAGTATGCGAAGTTACAGTGTCAACATAGTCATACTTGAGATGATATGTGGACACACAGTATGGTGACTGAATGTCAAGGATGTGATGGGTGTCAAGAGGAGTTTGTCATATTATTATTATCTGTCTTGTTATGTTACATGTTAACTGAAATACACTATTTGATCATAACGCTAGATTCGAACCTCATACTATTACTTGCTAGACATAGCACCACATGGCGCAGTCGGTATTTTAATTCGAGTTTAGTGAAGTGATTCTTTGTCGTCTTTTGTTACGAATTTCTGGAAGATGCCTCCCAAAAAGGAACAAGCCAGTTCGTCTCTGACGGTTCCCACGGATCCTCAGGAACTAATGAAACTGTTGATGCAGCAACAAGCTGTACTCAACACATTGACCACACAAATCGCAAACATGGCGACAACTGCTGCAGGAACACTTCCAACATCACCGAGCCACCCTCCACCGGTAAAGACACTCCCAATGCCTAAACTCAGCTCTCCAGAAACTCTGACTATTCCACAGTTCAGGGATTGGAGACAACGTTGGGAAGACTACAGCAGATCTCAGCAGCTTCAGAGCCAACCCATTGATTCCCAACAAGGAATTCTAAGGTCAGCCCTGGATAATGAATGGACCATGCTCTGGAACTCTAGTAGAATCAGAATTGCACCATCTACAGATCTCTCTATCATAATCGAATTGATGGAAGCATATTTACGCCGTCGCCGTAATCCATTATTGGATCGTCAGGCATTCCACCGACGAGATCAACAGCCTGGTGAGTGTGTTGACCGCTACTTTGCAGCGCTAAAAGAGCTCGATGATGCCTGCGACCACGACGCAGAGTTCAAATGCAAAACTTGCAATGATCCTTGCCACACAGAGTGCAATAAGTGTAGCATAGCGTTCCCGTTAACAAGCCATCTTCAAGAGATCCGGATACGGGACCGACTAATCTGTGGACTTATCGACAAAGACATGCAACGGAGAGTTTTAACTGAACAATACACCTCAGAGATAACTCTGGACCATGTGTTATCTATTTGCACAGCAGTAGAAAATTCGAAAAAGGTGGGTGCTTCGTTAGCTAATACCACGCATTTCTCAATAGACATAGCTGCAGCTAGGAGCAAGTCATCTTACAAGAAAGAGCAGCAATCAATCAAGAAAACTGGGTACAATTCAACAACATGTTTACGCTGTGGAAAAGATAGACACCTCAATGAAGAGTGTCCCGCAAGAAATCACAAGTGTGAGTACTGTAACCGTGTTGGGCACTACAAGAAAATTTGTATGAAGCGGTCAAGGGCAGTTAACAAGAAGGACACAAGACCGTCATCAGCTACGTCACCAAATTCAGCTAACAACGCGAACATTGGTTCATCTCCAGTACTACTCCAGATTCCAACACTTATCAGCGAAGTTATACACCATATCAACTGGCTTCCTGATACTGGCGCAGACGTTATGGCAATCAGTCTGAAAGACTTAGAGAAACTAGGTCCTGTAGCAATCAAATCTCTAAAGGAGGAAATTGTCGATGTTAACGCTACCAACGGCATTGGTTTAGGACCTGTCGGCACTATACCAGCAATCACCCTCTTGTTAAATGGAAAACAGTTCACAGCAAAACTGGGCGTTTTCAAAGACGTACACCAGCCTTTACTCAGCCGTGAAGCCTGCATGGCATTGGGTTTGATTGATGAAGATTGGCCACTTTCAAAGGTCAACTCTATCAAAAATGTTCAGAGCATATCACGTGGGACATCAGAACTAATCACTGTCAATCCCACAGTTACTTTGAACGCGGAAGAAGAGACGAAGAAGCTCATCGCTGAATTTTCTTCTGCTTTTAATGACACTGTCTTACGTCCTATGGAGGGTCCTCCAATGAAAATAGAAATAATAGAAGGTGCAGTACCAGTTAAACGTTACAAGCCACATACAGTCCCTTTTCACTGGAGAGATCAGGTACAACAACAACTTTCTATCATGGAACAAAAAGGAGTCATCGAACGTGTCCCAATTGGCGAACCAGTGGATTGGTGCCATCCGATGGTGGTTGTGCCTAAGAAAGGTTCAGCTGAACCACGTATCACTGTTGATCTCACTGGTCTTAACAGGTTCGTACGAAGACCAGCTTATCCAATGCGAGTCCCTAGAGAAGAAATAGCAAACATTCCACCTGGAAACATCTTCTTCACCACACTAGATGCTCGTCATGGATACTGGCAGGTCCCACTGGATGAAGAATCTAAGAAATTGACATCTTTTATCACCCCGTGGGGCACGTATCGCTATTGTCGCAATGTGATGGGTCTCATTTCAGCAGGCGATGAACACAATCGTCGTGGAGACGAAGCACTCCAAGGAATTTCCAATGTTGTCAAGATCGTGGAAGACATTCTGATTTATGACATTGACTATGACACTCACATCAAACGTGTCAAATCTGTAATCAAACGATGCGATGAGTACGGGATTACATTAAACGCCAAGAAGGTCGTTCTTGCTCAACCGGAAGTTGACTGGTGTGGATTCAGGATCAACAAGTTCGGATATACCCCTGCTCCACATCTTGTATCAGCTCTCAGAAATTTTCCTACTCCAGCTTCCAAAACAGATGTTCGATCATTCTGTGGACTAGTTCAGCAATTCGAAGCATTTTCTCATACATTAACGGAATTGTTGGCACCCATTCGATGTTTACTTTCTGGAAAAGCAGTCTTTATTTGGGAAGCCACACAGGAACGGGCATTTCGAGCAGTTATCGACGAGTTAACTAGCCCCAGGATCCTATCTCACTTTCAGGGAGGAAATCCGTTGCGTCTTGAGACAGACGCTGCACAATCAAGAGGACTAGGATATGCCCTCTGGCAAAAGCAAGACGATGTATGGAAGCTTCTCCAAGCAGGATCTCGCTTCGTGACACCCACAGAATCGCGCTATTGTGCAACTGAAGTGGAGCTATTGGCAGTTGTCTGGGCTGTAAAAAAATGTAGATTATATCTTCTTGGACAACCTTTCGAGCTTATAGTGGACCACCGCCCACTTATAAGTATCATCAACAGTAAAACACTGGATGAAGTGGAAAATCCACGGCTACAGCGAATGAAGGAGAAACTTCTTTCCTTCCGCCCACAAGCGGTTTGGAGACCTGGCATCAAGCATACCGTTGTCGATGTGTTCTCTCGTTATCCCGTCGCAGATCCAGATGAAGAAGATCTAGACGAGGAGCTAGATGCTGATCCCATTCTGCTTCATATTGCGGTACTCGAGAGGAATCAATGTGGTCCCTCTGTTATCTCAGATCCCATCATGATTGGTGTTCGACAAGCTGCTCAGATAAGCAGCGAGTACCAACGTTTGAAAGATGTCATCATCCATGGATTTCCAGAGAAATGCAAGCTTGATGTGGATTTACATCCATATTGGCGACTTCAGGATGACCTCTTTCTCGAAGACAACCTCATCTTCATGGGTTCACGATTACTTATCCCCACAACACTCCGACCAGCTGTACTCAAGAGTCTGCATGCTTCCCACCAAGGACAAGAGCGAACACTTCGTCGGGCGAGACAAGCTGTATTCTGGCCTGGCATAACAAATGACATTCGGAACGTGGTGAGAACTTGCAGAGAGTGCGCTACACATCTACCGCAGCAACAGAAAGAACCTAGGTACGATGACACACTGCCGACCTTTCCATTCCAGGCAGTATCTGTTGACCTGTTCACCTACGCTGGATATGAATACATCGTCATGGTGGATCGTTTCTCTGGATGGATCCACGTTGCCAGATGCGGACGAAGTGTCACGACATCAACAGTAACCACAATTTTACAGCAATGGTTCTGTGATGTTGGAATTCCAATGAAACTCAACAGTGACAACGGTCCTCAGTTTGCATCACTAGAATTTCAGAAGTGGGCAGAAAGATTGAATATCAATCACGTTACCTCTTCCCCTTACTACCCTCAATCAAACGGCTTGGCAGAATCAGCTGTCAAGGCAGCCAAGTCATTATTGATGAAAACAGCACCAAATGGAGACGTTCACTCGCAGAAGTTTCTCCTCGGTTTGATGGAATTACGAAACACTCCAAGAGCGGATGGAAGAAGTCCTGCACAGCTTGTATATGGCGCTCCAACCAGAACTACTGTCCCCTTGGCTCGCCACCAGTTCGACGAGTCATGGAAAACAAAAATTTTTGAAGTGGATCGTCGCGCTGTGAGCCTGAGAGAAAAAGCAAGCATCCGATACAATGCTAATGCCAAGCCTCTCGGTGAGCTCAAGCCTGGAGATATCGTATTAGTATACGACTTCAAAACGAAAACATGGGGTCAACTTGTGGAAGTTATCGAGAAACTACCTCGAAGAAGTTACCTAGTCAAATCTGAATCAGGGCGACTTTTTCGACGTAATCGTCGGTTCCTTCGTCGATTCTCTCCAACTCAGGTTGATGCACCAACATCTGAAGTCACGTCTCTTCAGATTCGTCGATCACCAAGGTTGCAAGAACCCTCTTACGTCGGATGTGTCCAAAGGTCACATCTTAAGGGAGGGCATGAGATGATATGTGGACACACAGTATGGTGACTGAATGTCAAGGATGTGATGGGTGTCAAGAGGAGTTTGTCATATTATTATTATCTGTCTTGTTATGTTACATGTTAACTGAAATACACTATTTGATCATAACGCTAGATTCGAACCTCATACTATTACTTGCTAGACATAGCACCACAATACTCGAAATTTCTTGTTCTGCCTATTGTGTGCGTTATACTTGCTTCGATGTCGTCTCATATGATCGTTGCGAAATAATATGCTTCAGAGGTATCCATGTGAGATGATAGGATACAGAGATACAGTGTGCATACTGATGTTGTCGAAGAATCTTCACTTGCTCATTGTTTCCGTTGAATGTCCTTCGAAGTCTTCTTCTATGGTCAGTACGATCGTATCTGCTATACCTGTAGGCATGTCAGATGCTAGAATGCGGAGTTACAGTGTGAACATAGTCGGAGTCGAAGTTTCTTGTTTCGCCTGTTGTGTGCGTTATACCTGCTTCGATGTCGTCTTATATTGTCGTTGCGAACTAATATGCTCCAAAGGTATCCATGTGAGATGATAGAATACAGAGACACAGTGTGCAGACTGATGTTATCGAAGAATCTCTACTTGCTTATTGTTCTCGTTATATGTCCTTCGAAGTCGTCTTTTATGGTCAGTGCGATCGTTTCTGGTATAGCTGTAGACATGTCAGATGCTGAAATGCGAAGTTTCAATGAGAACATAGTCGGAGTCGGAGTTTCTGATTTGCCTGTTGTGTGCGTTATACCCGCTTCGATGTCGTCTTATACGATAATTGCGAACTAATATGCTCCAAAGGTATCCATGTGAGATGATAGCATACTGAGATACAGTGTGCAGACTGATGTAGTCGAAGTAACTTCACTCTACCTATTAATCTCGTTATATATCCTCCAAACTTGTCCTATATGGTCAGTGCGATCGTATCTGTTTCAACTGTAGGCATGTCAGATGCTCGAATTCCGAGCCACAGTGTGAACATGGTCGGAGTCAAAGTTTCATGTTCTGCCTGTTGTGAGCATTATACCCGCATCGATATCGTCCTATATGATCGTTGCAATCTAATATGCCTCGGAAGTTTCCATGTGAGATGATGGAACATAGAGATACAGAGTGCAGACTGATGTTGTCGTTGTATCTTCACTTGCCTATTGTTCTCGTTATATGTCCTTTAAAGTCGTCTCTTATGGTCAGTGCGATCGTATCTGCTATGGGTGTAGGCATATCAGATTCTAGAATGTGAAGATACAGTGTAAACATAGTCGAAGTCGAAGTTTCCTGTTCTGCCTGTTGCCTGCGTTATACCCGCTCCAAAAGTATTCATGTGAGATGATAGAATGATGAGATACAGTGTGAAGACTGATGTAGTCGCGGTATATCGACTTATATGTTCTTCAAACTCGTCCTATATGGTCAGTGTGATCGTATCAGTTCCAACTGTTGGCATTTCAGATGCTTGGATTCAGAGCCACAGT